GTAGCGTTTTTAAAAAGTGCTTGAAGGTGCTAATTTTCGATTTTTTTAAAGCCCTTAAGGGTGCTTTTTTTATTAAGTGTTTTTAAAAAGTACTTTATTTTCCCTTTTCGAAAATGAAATTTTTTTCGTTACCATGTCAATTTTCGCCTCGTATTATGCAAAAGCGTGCTTTTCACATTTTTCGATTTAACGTTTTCACAATTCATTCAACCACAATCCATTTCGGCCTACCGTCGGTCCATAGCGTATGAAAACGCCAATCATTTTACATGTTTGATGAAATACTTGCAAGTCCGCATGTGCTTCCACTGAGCTGGATTCGGTGAGATTCTTGCACTCTCATGTGCAACTCTGCTGCATTTTGCAAGATATTCTCAATTTCTGGCTTCGTTATTCACCCTCTGATAAAGAACCAAAAAATCTCTTGATCATTTTATAATTGTTAATATAATCAAGAATAAAAAGTTCTTTGTCAGAAACTAGTTATTTTATCATGATCATGTAAAGTCTTTGAAAATCGTTTTGCATTTTGCTAATGTATATAGTCCTTAANCTTAATTTTGGTTATTTTTTAATGCTCTTAACGAATTTATAAGCCATACAAATATTTAAAAACAATCCTAATCTTGAAATTATAACATATAAATACTTGGAAAATGTTAACTTTCTTTTGTTATCATGAATTGAAAATTAAAGTGTCAACATATTAACACATATTGTTCATTAATTGGGAAATCTATGCCCAGTAAAGGAACCTGCCTGTTCCCTCACTGGTTAGAAGTTGTTTTTCGTATTTTTAACATACTTTTGATGCGGAACATCACTAAAGGTACAAGAAAATTAAAGTTTATCTTTTATTTTCATTAACTTAGAAAAAAAAACCAGTAAAGGAGCACTTGTTCCTTCACGGGTTTTTCATCGTTTGGTGATCCAGTGAATAAACACCCCCTTATCTCAGTACTTTATTATGCTATGATGCTTAAAAAAAATTACGTAACTTCAATAACTATATTTTGAATTCTCTTTTTCACAGTGAGAAAAATGAAATTATTACATGCAATTAATTCCACTTCAAACATATAAATACAAACCTTCACCTTTTAATTCTTTCAAAGAAACAAGGTGTTGCAGAAATAATAGCAAATTCAAAAATTTTTCCAGAGAAATCTATTTGACCAGGTAATCCAAAACATTGCTAGATGACTTCCTATTGTTTGGCAGTAAGCTATTGTTACCAATCAATCTAAAGAAAACTTTTAAATTCTTATTTTTAATCAATATATATGAAATGTTCCTTCACTGGGTATTGTTCCTTCACTGGTTGGTTCACCCTATATTGTCCTTAAAAATCACTTGAAAGGTGCTTATTTTTCGTTGAAAGATTTAGCTAAGCAAGCTGTTATTTAGTTAATTTATTTTTTACACTCTTTTAATATCAAACGCATTGAGACTCAAATTCTTAGACTTTTAACCTCAGACGTTTTGTTACATTTATTTATTAATAGAAAAACCTGAATAAAAAGAATATTTAGATACATCCATGGCTAATAAAATATCAAGACTTTTAGTTTCACTTGTTGGTTTATCAAAAAGTTGAAATAAATTCTAACAAAAAACCTTAGTTTATCTCAACAACTAAATAAAAGTTAAAACTTTTAGTTTCATTTATTTATTGAAGATGCGTCTCAATAAGTACTGGAGAAAATATTTATCTCAACTGTTGTTGAAGTTTTATTAATTTTATTTACAATTATTTATCGAAACAGCTAAATAACTTTTAAGAAAATATTTATTTATCTCCGTCACTTAGAAAATGTTAAAATATTTAGTTACACTTGACTGAATAAATTCTCGGAATAATCTTTGTTTATCTCAACACTTAAATAAATGTTAAATTATATAGTTTCATTTGTTTATTGAAGATGGGTCTAAATAAGTACTGGTTAAAATCTTTATCTATCTACACTGTTGTTAAAGTTTTATTAATTTCATTTACAATTGTTTATTTTTCGAAAAGACTTATTAAGTTATAGGAAAATATTTATCTAAGTGAGTAACAAAACGTTAAAACTTTTAATTACACTTGTTGACTGATCGAAAAGTTCTCAGAAAAATATTAAATTTTTTTAGTTTCATTTGCTTATGGAAGATGTATTTAAATAAATACGCGGAGAAAATGTTTTGTTAAAATTACCAAACATGGATGGTAAAAGCATTTCTAGTGAAAGAAACTAAAATATTAAAAATTAAACCAAAATATGCGGTATTTAAAATTATTCATATGGTAATTTTACCGTTCGCTGTTGTTACTATTTACCGGAAATTCTGCTTTCCAAAATTCTAGTTCTTATTACAATACATTTAGTGACAAATACGAATCTCAAAGGTTAACGTAACCATATAAATGGTTTTTATGTCATGATCTAAAGTATCGTGATAAAATTATTAAATTGATCTTCAGAACTATCAGCCCTTTTGTGATTCATTTTTAATACTTTTGACCTTTTGATGTTTTTGCCTCTTACGAAAAAGAAGGGTAATAATCTGCTGTTTAAACTTTATTTAAAATAGCAGTTTATTTCAATAGTTGATAAGAGTTAGATGAATACTGACTATTTCTTATTCTAATATTGTTGTTGGTTTAAGTCGCATTAGAGCTGCATAATGGGCTATTAGTGACTAGTCTCAAAGCAATTCATTTTTATATCGAAAGGTTAATTTCCTCATAAAATGTCTTTTTTTTTCTTTCAAAAAACAAAAAAAAGGTGAATGAGAAATTTTTATTGCAGTTTATAATCCAATAACCAATATAGATAGTTAGGTACTTTATTTACGTCGCACTAGAGCTGCACAATGAGCTATTGGCGACGGTCTGGGAAACATCCCTGAGAATGATCCTAAGACATGTCATCACGATTTTGATCCTCCGCAGAGAGGATGACTCCCCTGCTTTGGTAGCCCGACGACCTGTGCGCGAGGTGGGTGCTCTTCACGGTAGAGCAGTTAAACAAGGGCCGATACCGCACACCTTCGATCCCTTTGCAGACTGATCAAAGTGGTCACCCACCCGAACATTGACCGCTTTATTACCGCCAATCAATAATGCTTGACTTCGGTGTTCTATCGAGAACCGTATCTTAATGAACAGTCCACTGCAGGTCTCTAATTATAATATAATTTCTCAATTATAACATTCGTTAAAAAAACAAGAATGCTTGTATAAATTATTTTAAAGATATTAAATGCAGATACATTATACTATGAAGACTGTTTTATCCGCATTTTATGAGGGTTAGGAAGATATGTTTATTGAGAGAAGGTACGTTTTTGTGTCTCATTTTGTAACTTAAAATATCATTTGCACTAATTGTTTGGCATCATTGTAGTTACCATCTTAAACCATTAAGATTGAGTCCTAGAACCTCCGATCAGTAGATTAAAAGTTATTTACGGTGGTCAGTTTGCTCAGTGTACGTTGCCTTGCTATTGGTGGGGTATCATCACCGACTTCAACGATTCTATTTAATTACTATCATTTTTTACAGAATTTTATATATTTTTTTAAAATCATTGCTAGTTATCAACTAGGAAATTCCTTAAATGATTTTTAAAGTGAAAAAAATATATAGAAAAATTTGAACCTTATAATCAACTCTACATTTTTCATTTGATTTTGTATTATGTTAAACTCGGAGACATCCTTATAAATTTCGCTTGTTTTAGGATTCTTTTTCTGCGAAACTTTGTCTTTCTTTATCTTCACATGAAAAATAGTTTGCTTTTTCTAAAAAAAATGTTTTGAGTGTTGAACTAGTATTACGTTAAATTTTGTTAATCAGATCCCTTAGGCATAATTTTTTCATGCTTAAAAAGTTACTCAAATACTGCATTGTCTGGACCTACAACAATGGAGAATTAATGATTGATTACAATACAATTCAAAATTCTCGTAGACAGCTTAAAAGAATTGAATTTTTTTATATTTAAGCAATTTGCCCGTTCTAAATCTATGATAATTCCTTATGGTATAGTATAGTTCGTTCACCAGCAGTTAGCACTTGGCTCCGCCTTCATCACATGGTATCTGGCAATACTATTTCGCTATTTTGGGTAAAGAATGTGACAATCGTGAACCATGGTTGCTCTTTGGCGATCGTACGACAAAGATATTTATTTCGAATCTTTATGTGCATTTTTTTAACAAGTGCATTTTATTTCCTAAATTTGATGATATTTCTCTCTTTTGAGTGAATTGTTTGTCCTTCTTGAGAAGAACAAACTTGAGAAACTTTGCTGCAATATATTTAATTGGTTAGAGTAACGAAAGGTATAATAGCAGATGATAAAGCGAAGTAAGAGCCGGAAAAAGAATTCACTGTTTGCGTTTGGAACACATTTAGGACTGTCTCAATTTCAAGCGCGGAGACGTTTCTCCTCCTACTACCGCACTGAAATGAACTCTTCGTCCGAGGAGGTAGAGCCAAGTGCCAACTCCTGATGAACGAACTATATATATAGTTTCATTTATAGTTTTTATTTAACTTTAATGGAGCTGGGGTAATCTGATCTAGAGTTTGAATACAGACGGCCGAAGACTCCTCGGGTAGTAAATGGGGACTGGTGCAAGCTGAATCTATAAGGTCACAAAGTCCTCCATGTTCCCATAACAAATTATACCTCTTAGGGTACTGGATAGGAGATTGATCCTTCTCCGTTTCAGGTTAAAATTACGATCTGTGGATAAATGAATGGATATATGAATGGGTCTGCTTTATAAACGGATGTGGAAGAAGTCGAATTCTTGGCTACAGATGGCGCCACTAGAAAATAAGAACAGTCGCATCCCCTGTACCTTAATGGCCAACGACCACAACAACAATTAACTTTAATGCACTTAAATCGAAAGCACATTGAAAAAGACCCTTAAAAATTTATTGTCAATTTACTAAAATGTAGCCAATTGCATTATGTATCTAATGAATTCTAATTATTTTTTTAAGATCAGAAGTGAAGAGACAAATCGTCTGTTGGATGAGAAATGCTCAAAGACCCAACATTTAAGGCATACATTTTTGAAAATCTTCTTCTTATTCTTGCAACATTTTTACCTGTCTCTTGTGAGTACACTTCTTTATATTTTAAGAAACTTTATAATAGGATATTCTACTTTAAATTCCTTTTTTAAGAAGGTTCACCAACTTAATCATTTTGAAAGAACTATAATACAGTATATTCTCGATATCTCAAAACTGAAGGGATTCTAAAAAAATTTCGAGATTGCGAGTCTTCGAAAAAGCAAGTTCAAAGTTATATATGTTCTAATGAATAGAATAATATATTCTAAAATATTACTCTAAAAAGTAGAAAAGTTTAAGTTCAGCAATGATAATTTTATTTTTAAAAATAAGACAAAAATAATTATGTGATAAATAGAATAGAATTGATTTACAATAAACTTACTTGGTAATTTTTTCGAAAAAATTCTTTAGCAAGGTTTTGAGGAGAAACTCTTCGACATAGGAATTCAAATTAATATTAGGTGGATATGTAATGTTAAAGACAAAAATATTTTTTGACATAACAAGGTTTTCGAGATATGGAAGTTTGTTATGTCAAGACTAAAGTTTGTCGGTAAGAACTCCCCCCAATGTCTGAGGCCGTCTGCTGCCATGGAAACAAGAATAGCGCGTTTCAGGAACGGTAGCTTCTCTTCTCGCTAGATTCTAACACGATAGACCGAAGAAAAATATTTTCTTTTTTTCGCCGACCCCACACCCCTACTTGAAATAACTATCCCTCGTTACGGCCCCGAGTTCAGATGAATGGCTAGGGGAGTTCTTACGTTAAACAAACTACATATTGTATTGTATTGATAAAAAAATTCAATTGTAATAATTTATTATAATAGAAGTAGCTTCGGAATTCATTTTTAATGCACACACAAATTTAATATGATAGAATTCATAATGACATTCCATTATAATTAATATATTATAATAGAAATGTCTGCCGGAAACCATTTATAATGCATGTTTGTATATTTTATAACAGGAGTGATATTGACATTTCTTTATAATAAATATACAAAATAAACTACAAGAAGCTAATCAAATTTAATATAGTAATAGAATTCATAATGACATTCTATTGTAATTAATATATTATAAATAATATATTATAAACCTGCAAAATTATTAGCCACACTATGAGATTTTAAGTAAAATCTTAATTATCAGGTGATACTATACAGCTTTATTATTTTCAAGCGACTGAAATTGGTTTGCACTTGTTTACGTTCGTGTATCAATTGGCTAACATTGTTATGCAATGCGTTAAAAATAAATACAAATGCAAAATAAATGTGCAAAACATGCAATTATCAAAACCCTACAGAGCGTCTAATAATTTGGTCTAATTATTATAATATACTTATATAATACCTTATATAATAAATATTCCATATTTGTATAATAATATGTAGTCTAATTTACCCAATCGTCGAATTTATATTATATATCGTCTACTTTAGCCAATTGATACACGAACGTAAACAAGTGCAAACCAATTTCAGTCTCGTAAAAACAATAAAGCTGTATAGTGTATCACCTGATGATTAAGATTTTACATAGAATCTTAGAGTGCGTCTTAATAAGGTTAAAGGAAGTTTTCTTGTTACTATGGTTTCCTGTACCGATGTTCATAATGATTTCTTCGACATGTTGCATAAGAGACTCCAACATTTCTTGTACAGGTACACGCTTTAGTTTGCCTTTGAGAATCAGCATGCTGCATATACCCACCCCCGTAGTGACGGGCGAGGATGTCCGACTACACTGTTCATATGAGCTTGGAAATGAGACCTTGTACGCAGTCAAATGGTACAAGAATCTGGGGGAGTTCTTCAGATATGTCCCTGCATCAGATCCACCCCTAAAGACCATCCCTCAACTTGGAATCGATGTTGACGTGAGTGCTTCTTTTTTTTCCCCTTTCAATTTGTGTTTGGTCCCTCGCTTATCCTAAAGACATGATTTCCAGTAGAACACCAAAGTGAAGCTGCGTGATCACCCAGGGGATTCATCCCCTCTGCAGAGGATCTCTTAGCATATTTGTTATAATTAGAGTATTAATACCCTTAGACCATTGAGATTGACACTTCTTACATGAAAATTGGATCATTAGAAAAGTTATTCAAGGTGATTTTTTTTTTTTTTTGCGCACTGCACGATGATTTTGGATCGCTCTCCTGATCAAACTATGGTGGCCATATTTGCCATATTGCGGCAACCCCCTATATTTTGGAAAACAGATCTTCAAATCCATCCAAAAAAAAATTACATTTATTTAGAGAGAGTACGTTTTTTGTGTCTCATTTACTAACTTAAAATGTCGTTTATACGGACTAATTAGAATATTTATAGTCACCTCCTCAAATCATTATGATTGAGTCATTAAACGTCAGAATTAGATCAGAAGTTAGTCAGAGTGGTCTGTTTTTATATCTTGCACTGTACAGATTTTACACTCAATGCCAACTCTTTTAAACGAAGCTAGAAAAAAAACTCAGTATTACAAACCTTTCACGCACGTTTTTAAACATCACATATGGTAAACAATATGTTACTGTTGTTAACTTTCACCCGTGAATGTTGTCAATCACATTGTCTTTTTGATGAATGTCCGAAGTATATACTAGGTCTACTTAAATGCCACTGCCCGGTATACATCTGCCCCGTAAGAACTGCATCAATGTTTTTTTAAGGTTCAGTGCCACTTCCTGGTACACATTTGCCCGGTATGCCTTACATCGATGTTTTTTAAGGTTCAGTGCCACTGCCTGGTATACATTTGCTCGGTATGCTCTATAACCGTTTTTTAAGGTCAAGTGCCAGTGTCCAGTATGCTTTTAACCGGTACTCCGAACACTGATATGTTTCTCCTAATCTATCCTCAGCAGATATTAAAATATCGAATAAATATAATAATATCAACGAATAAATTAATATCAAATCGGATATAACAAGTATTACAGATATTTACCAAAGCGACTATGTGATTGTAGACATTCACCGGTTAAAAACGACATTCAGTCAGATTATTTAAGTCATTCACAGTAACATATGTTCTTGTATTTTGTTTTTTGTATTATGTAATATATTTTCGGTATAGTAAATAATAAATTCAAAAAAAATAATAAAATGTAATAACACATGTTAAATCATCATAAACAAATAACTCAGTATAAAGTAACCTATTCCAGATAAAACTATTCTCTCAAAATAAAAATACTTTTTTATCATATATATATATTGAAGGAGAAAAAAGAACTAAAACTCGACCAGTTTTATTCTCTATCATTCTTAGGAGGAAAACCATAAAAACTTCAACTCTATTTTATAGTAACAAATGAAATTTTGATACAGGCTATATATATACATAGCTGGATATTAAAAAGAAAGTGAAAATTCGTTTTTATGGAAATGTTATTGAATTCTTTGCCAATTGCAGTGCCAGACTAGTTAGGCTCAACGTTAAAGCCAGATAGTTTTATTCCATTTCTTTGAATTTTTGAAGAGAAAAAAAATTATTCTTTATAAGTTTTTGGTGTGTTTTGTCATTGAATGCTGGGATGTAATTTTCCTCCCTCAGTTTTATCTTTGGTTAAATGGAATGGATAAGAAATAATAGTTTAGTTTTTTGTTTAAAAAAAAGGCTTATTTCTAGTCTTTGGTAAAAAAAAAAAATTTTAAAATGACATTTACAAGAGGTGTCAAAAAATAAAATTTAAGCGAAAATTATTTAATTTTTAACTTTTGATCATTTTAAATATCTATTATGTCGTTTGGCAAATCTATGCACACTTTANACCAGAAAGACTGATCCTGAATGGAGTTAACATCACTTTTCGCTGGTCTTCCATAAGAACATGATCTAAATAAAATACATCAGATTTCATTAAAATCCTGTGTCTGTTTCCCTGCTCGGTCCGACTGCATCATTTTACATATATATGTATATATATAATTGTAGCGTATCTACCACTTCAAAAATACAATTCCAATTCACCAGTATATAAGACATATTAACCCGATTCCATGATGGGGTACCTTTTCATAGATGAGGGTTGACATGGTCGATAGCAATCCCCAAATAATTAAGGGCGGTGAAGAATGTACTTGTTTCCTTGCGACGTTGGCAACAAAGAATTGAAATATTATGCACAAGAGCTGTCGTATCGAAGGATTGAAATTCGTATCGACCAGCCGTCGCCGGGATTCAAACCCGGTTCACCGCATTAGAAGGTGAACGCCCTATCCCCTGAGCCACCACGTCTCTTATTCTACTCATTGTAAAATTTAACCACTGCAGGGACATTTTCTATTTAATCTGGTCATTTGTGCTACGTCAGGTGGTTAGAAAAATTCATTTACTTTTATGTAGCACTATATATTGTGAAAAATTCATTGGTGTTAAAATAATAAATTAAAAAATAATAAATTAAAAAATAATTAATTGAAAAATAATTAAAAATGAATTAATTAAGAAATAATTTAAAAAATAATTAATTAAAAATGAATTAAATATTAATTTAAAATTAATTAATAGAAAATTAATTGTTCATAAAATAATTAATTAAATAATAATGAACTAAATTTGTTTATTAATGACTACTGTACAATAAATGTCTTAGAAATGCTTGTGTACCCTGAGAGGGGAGCACGAGATTTGTCCCTTTAATTCGCTGCAAACTATTCTAATTTATCTAAGTAATTTCTGTTTAATATCCACGAGTTGTTCATTAAATTCTATTTAGAATAAACACCTGAAGGCGAAACTGGAATGGTGTTGATTTGGATAATCTCATTTCGGAGGACAACCAACAGAACACTAATGAGCTTTAAACTACTGCAAAGATGCTGCTGCGTCTCTCAATTCCATTTTAAAACTAGTCTTTAAACTTTAAATGCCAATCTTCTCATTACTACTCGTTCTTCCAAAGCCTCTACATTGACATTTTATGAAATAAGGCTTTTTAGTAAATAATTGTTCTGATTATGTAGCAATTACTCATGAATGTTAAGTTTTTTTTCCCGTCTTTATTTGCTTGCTTTCTCTTAATGTTATTACATGGTGCTAAGCCTTTTTAAAAAGTGCTAATTTTCTCATTTCTAACAGGAGGTATTTTTTCTTCGCCGTGCCAATGTTCGCCACGACTTATACAAAAGCGTGCTCTTCACATTATTCTATTCAACCTTTTCACAATTCATTCAACCACAATCTTTCTGTCGGTCCAGAACTTATGAAAGCGTCAATCATTTTAAATTAATCATTCATGTGCAACTCTGCTGCATTTTGCAAGATATTCTCCATTTCAGGCTTCATTTTCCACCCTCTGATATCGAACCGAAAATCCTCTTCATCTTTTTATAATAGTAGCTAATATAATCAAGAAAAGAGTTCTTTTTTTATCTTTATTTTTTAATTTTTGTCTGAAACTGGTTTTTTTATCATGATCATGTTATACCTTTGAAAATTATTTTGCATTTTGTTAATGTATATAGTGCTTAAAAAGTACTTATAGGGTGCTTATTTTTTGTTGGAAGATCTGGCTACGCACCCTGTAAATCATTGTTTTGATTCTCTAGCAATTGCTCACGACTGTTAAGTATTTTTCTGTCTTCATTAGCTTGCTTTCTTTTTATGTTATTTGTAAAAATGGCGCAGAATGTCTGTGTAACAAACTCCGCAATTTTGTAAAAAATTTTTCCATATGAAATTCTTATTTTTGAAAAATGACTTCAGCTCTGGGTTGTTGGGACTCATAAAACATGCAAATATTGAGCTTTCACCCCTATTGAGAGCATCTTGAAACTTTTAAGTTCGTCTGCTTGTTCACCATTGTTAAAACTCTTTGTTCTTAATGGGGTCTGACGTCATTTTAGATCTTTTTATAACTATAGTGAGTTTGTAAGATGAATGTGCATATTCATAATTGTGTTTGATTGGCTACGTTTTGTACATTTTCAGCCAAAACACTCAATGAAAACAAAAAAAATTGCTCAGATAAAGCCACAATTTTATAAAAATAAGAACCTTTTTTTTTGTAATTCAGGGCCAGTGCTAAACATTCGCCACCTCGCTAAATACAATAAAATCTCAATTTTCGAGAATAAAATTGTGTTCTGGTGAAAGTATTGGAGAATGATTTTTTCTACTGGAAAGAAAAATAAACAAAAATGATTCAGATTTTCATTTGATATTTGGCTAATTTTTAAAGCTTTTGATATTTTTAAAGCTTTTGATAATTGGCTAATTTACTGGCTAATAATTTGAAATCCTTAGCGTGGACTTCAGGGTTGGATTGTTCAAAAATTCAAAAAATTAGAATCGCTCAATTGATTCTAGCAATTTTCATCTAAATAGAAAAACGTCCCAAAATTGACGATTTTTTTCAAGCATATAATTTTTTTTCTAAGATTTAAACTATTCGTCAGCTTTATAATTCAGACGATAATATGTACAACTTTATGTTAGAGCTTTACATATGGATTTAAAGACAATTTCTTTTGTTTCTTTTGTTAGGGTAAAGAGCTTTAAAGTTAAATCAAAGTTACAGTATCTAAATAAGAATATTATTTATTGTGTGTTTTGTTTTTCAGATGTCAAGATCAAACAGCACTACAGTATTTCTTAGAAATTTAAATATGGATAGCTTAGGAAATTATACATGTCAAGTGTCCACTGACAAACCTTTTTTCAGATGCGTTCAGTCCACAAAACAATTAGAAGTTGTAGGTAAGACATTTTGTTTAAAGGTAACAAATATTTGTAAAATTAACAATATTTTCTTTAATTAAAATAATCGCCTATAGCATTTTACAAAAATAAACAAAACAAACTGACTTATATAACATTTTTTATTAATAAAAATATTAAATTGTACAGCATTTCTCCAAAATAAATAAATCAAGGTATTAACATGTTCCATTCACCCGAGGTGGTACTAATATATTTTAGAAACTTAATTTAACGTAAAATTTCATTTTAGAAAGTGCTTTTTGTAACTCCAAAACACTTGTAATTCTTATATTTTAATTTAAAAAATTATAAATTCCTAATTACTTTATAACACTAGGGATCTATGCAAATCTTTTTCTTTTTGAAAAAAAAAATTTGGTTTTTTAAGTCATTGTAAGAAGTCTGCTCATAATTTTGTGAATTTGTTAAAATTTCATGAATATTTAGATAAAAATTAGAGAACTGATCTTTCCATGAAAGGTTTTGTAGCTTTGGGAAAAATCTACTTACAATTTCTTACACCTAAAATTATCGTAGAATATAGTTCTTTCTGTCATGGTCCTGTTAATGTAAATCTATAAAAAATAAGGTCCGGTATTTCTAACAAAACACAAAAACTATGTCTTTCAAGGATTATTATTTTCAAAATTTTGAATTAATGACGTCACAGACATCGGTTTTCAAAATAAGATTTATGAATAGTTCATTTTAAAAATGAAAATGAAAGTGAAAAAATTCATTTTAAAAATGAACCGTTTTTAAGGTAAAATATTTTGTGAAAGGTTTGTTTTTACAGGATGCGTAGCGTTTTTAAAGAGTTCTCATTTTTGATTTACGTTTCTAAAAGCTTTTAAAAGTGCTTTTTTATTCGGAGTTTGTAAAAAGTGCTTAATTTTCTATCTTTTAAAAACAAATTTTTGTCTTTGCCATGTCGGTTGTAGTTCTAAATTACAAAAAAATGCATGATTTTCACAATTTTCTCTCCAAATATTTATCAGAAACTAGTTATTTTATTATGATTATATTTGAAGTTTTAGAAAATGTTTTTGAATTTTATTGATTTTATATTTATAAATTAAGAACTTTAAACGATAAAATTTTTTTTTATTTCTGCACAGATCGTAATTATAATTTTTTGGGGGGGAAAATGATTCGAAATATTTTTTGAGTGCCTTAAAAGTACTTAAAAGGTGAATATTTTTTGTTGAAAAACCTGGATACGCAACCTGTTTTACGATAAAATAATTTTTTAAGTTACATTTTTAGGATAAGATAATTTACGCATTATCCATTTATGGTCCCAAAGTGCTCTTAAATAGAATCCTAGAAACATACATTATTAAAAATTGTAGTGGCGCACTTTTAATACTCATTTGTTTTGTAATGCCTATAGTAACTTTATTTCGTAACTTTAGGACTTTTTTTCCTTTTTATGAAATTTAAAAAATAATTATTATTCGAAAATATTAAAAATATATACAAAAAATAATATACATGTACATATAAAATATGATATTAAATATAAAATAATATNTTTTTTTTTTTTTTGAAAAAAAAAAATTGATTTTAAGTCATTGTGAGAAATCTGCTCATAATTTTGTGAATTTGTTAAAATTTCATGAACACTTAGATAAAAATTAGAGAACTGATCTTTTTATGAAAGGTTTTGTAGCTTTGTAAAAAGTCTACTTACAATTTCTTACACCTAAAATTATCGTAGAATATAGTTCCTTCTGTCATGGTCCTGTTCATGTAAATCTATAAAAATAAGGTCCGGTATTTGTAACCAAACACAAAAACTATGTCTTTCAAGGATTATTATTTTCAAATTTTTGAATTAATGACGTCACAGACATCGATTTTCAAAATGAGTTTTATGAATAGTTCATTTTAAAAATGAAAGTGAAAAAATTCATTTTAAAAATGAACCGTTTTTAAAATGAAATATTTTGTGAAAGGTTTGTTTTTACAGGGTGCGTAGCGTTTTTAAAAAGTGCTCATTTTTGATTTACGTTTCTAAAAGCTTTTAAAGGTGCTTTTTTATTCGGAGTTTGTAAAAAGTGCTTAATTTTCTATCTTTTAAAAACAGATTTTTGTCTTTGCCATGTCGGTTGTAGCTCTAAATTACAAAAAAATGCATGATTTTCACAATTTTCTCTCCAATATTTATCAGAAACTAGTTATTTTATTATGATTATATTTGAAGTTTTAGAAAATGTTTTTGAATTTTATTGATTTTATATTTATAAATTAAGAACTTTAAACGATAAAAAAATTTTTTATTTCTGCACAGATCGTAATTAAAATTTTTTTGAGGGGAAAATGATTCGAAATATTTTTTTAGTGCTTTGAAAGTACTTAAAAGGTGCATATTTTTTGTTAAAAAATCTGGCTACGCAACCTGATTTACAATTATTAAGTACCTGATTAATAATTTTTTAAGTTACATTTTTAGGATAAGATAATTTACGCATTATCCATTTATGGTCCCAAAGTGCTCTTAAATAGAATCCTAGAAACATTCATTATTAAAAATTGTAGTGGTAATCTTTTAATACTCATTTGTTTTGTGATGCCTATAGTAACTTTATTTCGTAACTTTAGTACTTTTTCTCCTTTTTATGAAATTTAAAAAATAATTATTATTGAAAAATACTAAAAATATATACAAAAAATAATATTTATGTATATATAAAATATGATATTACATATAAAATAATATTTAATATAAAATACATGTAAAAAAAACAAGTAATATAAAACAATATTAAAGTCAATTCCTACTCAAATTAACCAAAAAAAATTTTATTTTAGTTACTTTTTATTGAATAATTAAAATTTTTTCTCCTATATAAAACTAAAATTAATTAAATTTAATTAATAAATTTGAAAAAACTGTACTAACATTAAGTGTCATTCACAACAAGTTTAAAAAAAATGTATTTGAACTTGAGTGTATGAGTAAAAAGTATTTTATTAACGTTTGAAAATATGAACGAGATATAGGGAGAATGTGAACTAATACTGGGAATTGAAAAAAAAAAGTTTTTACCGGCACTTCATAGATTTTACTGTTTTTATAACGAATTGACTTAATATTAGAAATTTAAAGAGTAAAATATGAAATGCGATGGTAATAGAAAATAAAATGTAGTTATAATGTTAAAAAAATGTATTAAAAAGGAAATAGTAAATTTAATTATTCATCTCTCTGTTTTATGATAATCAAAATGTAATTAATAAATCATATTAAAGAAAGCGCAAACAGCAGTAATGACTGAAATTACTAATAAAAAATAGCGAAAATTACTTTATCTTTCTTTTAATTGATCCTACATGCGCATATTTTACCTCTTTCAACTCCCTAACAAATATATATGAAGTATTGGGCATAGCTAATAGTAGGAATCGAGTAATATTAAAAAGTAAACATATTTTTAAAAAAAAGTTATTTTGAGTAAATTTTATGAAATATATTATCATAAAAAAAGTTTTTTTTCTTTAAATAATTGCTCTTTTTTATTTAATAATTTTATCAGTGATCTTAGTACACTATATTTTTCTCACAGTGCCTCCGTCAGATAGACCCGTATTGATGACAGAGAAAGCTGAATATGAATTAGGAGATAATGTCTCAATTTTGTGCAATTCCGGAAAATCCAAACCAGCACCAGAGCTCAAATGGTACATCAATGATCAGCTAGTAAGTACATAAAATATATGGAGTGTTCTTTAAAAGAATCATTGAACGAAGTATTAGGGGGACCGGAAAGTAATGCCATTTCCGCGCCTTAAATATTCGTTAGTCTTCCTCCCAAATCAAACTTTTTGATGTTTTTCATTGATGGAGCAACATAATCGTGATCAGGGGATAGAGCCTTCCAGTGAGGAGAACCGGGTTCGAATCCCAGCGATGGTTGGTCGATACGAATTCCGCATCTGGCTTTCATCGATCACAGTGCTGACGTAAAATATCCTCTGTGGGAGACGGATCATGGATTAGAGTCTCCTTGCTGTCAGGCTATCCGAGGATGGTTTTCGTGGTTTTGCTCTCCACGTAACTCAAATGCGGGTCAGTTTCTTAAAAAAAGGTCACAAATGCAAATTTTTCCCAATACTTGATCCAAGGGTTTCCTTGTGTTTTGGATTTAGTTCAAAATTATAAGGCTACGTAGTTGAACATTAGTAGTCGTAAACCTAAAATTGGATCGAATATAAACTAAAATAAAATAACATGGGATCGAAGAAAAAATTATATTTTCGAAATTAGAAAAACCAATATCGAAGTAAATAATTCAGTTAAAGAGTAATTATCTATCAAATCGGTTCCCTTTTTATTTTTTCGATTGAGGTATGGAGAAAAAAAAGGGTTATCGATGTATCCATTCTATCGATCATTATATCGATTTATCAATAAAATTAGTTTTTATATCAGGCAGTTGAATTAACAGGTCTGGTGCGGCATCTAGTCCAGTTCTTAATTTGCTTTTAATGCATGCACAACCCGAGAATGAATGAGCTGAAATATAGTTTATATCAACGTGAAAACGAAAAAGGAAGAAAATAAACGTTGAGAACGGTTGTCAAGAAACATACTTTTTTGTTGTTGTTGAAGTTGGGTAATTTTATTCGAATTTGAAAATACTAATGGAAATTTTCATTATTGAATATCCTTTTTCTTAATTCATTAATTATGTTGTTATTAGAAAAAAAATTCTGTTTAAATTCACAAGCATTCCAATTAAATAATTTCATAAAAATAAGGGAATAAATTTAATTACAGGTTTAGGAGAAAAAAAATTACTAGTTACTTGTTTCGCGGAACCCTCGGGTTCCGCGGAACACCATTTGGAAACCCTGATCTATACGATAGAAAAGGTGGGNTATAGCATATAAATTCGTAAAGAGCATTAAAAAATAGCCAAAATTAAGTGTTCCTTAACTGAGTGTTCATTCACTGGTAAGAGCTGTTTCTTCACTTGGTCTTCTTACTAGTTATTTGAACCTCCAAAACTTTAAAACAATATTATGTAAGTTCTCTAAAAAAATTTTACATAATTTGCAATTAGAAACAAATATGTTGACACTGTCATTTACCTAAAATTACGAATTTTGAAATTAATGATTTTTTAAAAGGCAAGCGAAGCTTAAGTGTTCCTTCAGTGGTTAGTTTACCCTACAAATATTAAGTAATAAACGGGAGGCCATTGTAGCCCAGTTGTAGGAGGGACCGGGATTGCACCCGGAGAAGTCTGGATTTGTTCCTCGTATCCACTAAGACCAGAGTACATGCATTGTACGTGCTTAACACTAGATTGCCTAAGAAAGCCATTTTGACTGCTTTTTAATTTCAATTGGAATAGCAATGATGCAATTTCTTGGAGTTTTGTGACTTTTTGTACAACGTATAATTTTTTTATTAATATTTACTGATAACTTTTTATACAGGTTGGTCCTAAAATACGTCAAAAATGTAAAGGTAGGTAGAGGGAACATAAATAAGCATTTTTCGGATAGGAATGTGTGTGCGGTAATGGCACATTAAAGCACTAGCAGTATGAATCAAAGGAAACTGAAAGGACAAGTAAAGACAAAAGAAAACTAGATTCCCTACCGGCTCAAGTCAGCATTACCGCACACACAATCCTATACGAAATATGCTTATTTAGGTCCCCTCTACCTACCTTTACATTTTTGACATATATTTTAGGACCACCCTGTATAAATAAATGGAGAGTGTGAATTAATTGTAGGAATTGGAGAAAGAAAAAAAGAGCGTGGTAACAAGTAATTATAAAAATATGAATTTGATGACCTGGACCACACGTGCTACCACGTAATGTTTTTTATTAAAATTTTCTGACACAGCGAATATAAAATAATTAAATATTTAAGTATGTATTAAGTAATTAATATATAATTAAATATTAATAAACTATTTTTGTTCAAATAGAGCTATAAGATAGAAATTATCACTGATGTTATTTTTAAAATATGTGAGAAACTGAATCGCATATAGTAAAATTTTAAAGAATGACTAACGCTTAACCCCATCAGAAAATTCCATTTCATTTTTCGCTCTTCCCTATTTAATGAATGAATTAATATTTGAAAAAAACTGTTTTAACATCATCCAGTACAAGTTCAAAAAAAATGTATTTGAACTTGAGTGGAGATGAATAAAAAGTATTTTATTAATGATTGAACATTTGAACAAGATATATAGGGAGAGTATGAACTAATATTAGGAATTGAATATTTTAATGATTTAACTTTTTTTTGCCATTTCTTCTATTTCCGTTTCTTATTTTCGTTCTTTTTCTCTTTTCTCATGTCTTCCATTTTTTTTAATTATTTGCTAAGATTATTTAAGTACTATATTAAAGCCATTATAATTTCCAATTATATTTATTTATTTTCATAAAACAAGCAAAATTTAAGTCAATACCGATATACTTAAGAAGCCACACATGCATGTTATTAATTTAATTATACCTTTCCTAACGATTCATGTCATAGCTTGTTATATTCAAACAATTGGCTCATGGCAGCAATAATTTTAATTTAACGATCGAGATTCAAATAATAGAGAAAATACTTCATTTCTAATCATCTGCACCAGTATTAATAGCTCTCCAATCAATTCCTCAGTATCAGTTCCACTAAACATAGTGATGGCGATCCGGTCACCACTTCATAAACTATTGTTTATCCTTATCCATGAACATCTAGATAAGATAGCTCAGATGTATATTATTGTTATCGAGGGGTTCTAAAAGCCGACTACATATTAATCAGGGCTCATATTAACTGCGCTCTACTCCAAAATTATGTAGGACTACTAACAATGCTTGAGAGAGTTAGTTCAAAGCTTGTTGCGCTGTAATTCCGAATGCTTTGTTCAATTACCAGATTGTAATCATTATGATGCGAAATTTTCGGATTACGCTGAGAGTGAAATATTTTATTAGGGCTTTAAGGAAATGGAAGACCTTATAGTGGAAGAATATGTTAAGTGGTAGTTCGGAAACTCTTCTATTTATGCGCTATAATATTATCATAAATGTATGGGATAGGTAATTATTCAATTATAAGATTGTAATTATTATGGGAAGAAATATTTCGGCTTGTGCTGATTGTGAAAAATTAGCCCAGCGATAAGAGGAATTGAAGATCTAGATGGAAGAACATGTTTACTGGTGTTTTGAAAATGATTTCTGAGTTGAAGAGCAATTGTGAGTGAACTGGTACTTCCATTTTAAGATCCTCATTATCCATTATAAGATCATTTTCAATTATATGATTTCAATTATTGTTAGGAGAAATTTTCGAGATTTCGCTTTGTTTAGACTTTTATGAAAATGAAAGGACTTATAGTGGAAGAACATATTAGGTGGCATTTTAAAAACTCCCCTATCTCTGCATTAAATCCTTATTATAAATAAGGGGGACTCTTGAAGGTAATTACAAAGGCGAAAAATTTAAGTTTAGCCAGAAATTTTCGAAATACGGTGAGGTGTAATATTTTGTTTATGATAATGGACATAAGAGTATCATGTTAAATGATATTTTTTGAACCATGATAGTTCAGGAGATAGAGCGTTCACCTTCCAATGAAGTAAACCGGGTTCGAATCCCAGCGATGGCTCGTCGATACGAATTCCGCATCCTACTTGCTCCGACCACAGTGCTGTCGTAAAATATCCTCAGTGGAAGACGGATCATAGGTTAGAGTTCCCTTAACGTCAGTCCAACCTTGGGAGGTTTTCGTGGTTTTGTTCTCCACGTAACGCAAATGCGGGTTAGTTCCATCAAAAAGTTCTCCAAGAAGACATATTTCTCCCAATACTTGATCCAGCAGTTCCCTTGTCTTTTGGATTGGGTTCAAAATAACAAGGTTACGGAGTTGAACATTGGTAGTCACAAACCTCCCAAATATTGGGTCATCTGTTCAACGCCGGTTAAAAAATAGAAATAAAATGAAAACTTTCTTTATTTAAATTTTTACTGAGTAGTTTACTTGGTGCCTCTTCAATTACGCAATTATTTTGGCAATAAATTCTCTGATTCCGCTGNAACTTTGGGAGGTTTTCGTGGTTTTGCTCACCACGTAACGCAAATGCGGGTTAGTTACATCAAAAAGTCTTCCAAGAAGACATATTTCTCCCAATACTTGATCCAGCAGTTCCCTCTTCTTCTGGATTGGGTTCAAAATAACAAGGTTACGGAGTTGAACATTGGTAGTCACAAACCTCCCAAATATTGGGTCATCTGTTCAACGCCGGTTAAAAAATAGAAATAAAATGAAAACTTTCTTTATTTAAATTTTTACTGAGTAGTTTACTTGGTGCCTCTTCAATTACGCAATTATTTTGGCAATAAATTCTCTGATTCCGCTGTTTCTCCGAATTTCGTTTTCTTCACATTGCTGTTACTGTTAACAGAATAATCTTGTGTTGTTCTTCCTTCGCCAAGTACTGAATCAAAACAGGAATTTTTATGTTTAAAGGCCGACGTTTCTTAGGAAAGCCATTGACGCCGACGTTTCTTAGGAAACGTCGGCGTCAGCTTGAAACGAGCGTTTACCTCTGATTGGTCAATTTATGAGTTAGACAGCATACATCATCGAACGCTCAGCTTGAACGACAACTGCCGTCCAAATCAACTGCAGTTGGATTACAACGTGACGTTAACAGCAGAAGCAATGGCGGACAACAGCCAACAACAGAGCATTGAAATCAGCCCAGATTTTAAATTTAACATTAAACGTAGCTTCTTTTTCCTCTTCTTCTTCATTTAGCTAAGCTATAATGTGTTTTTTCTTGAACAAAGTCATTATTTGTTTCTTAAAGCACTGGTCAACAATCACAAAATCAATACAAATTCAAAATAAATATTTGTTTACGTTATTAACGCATGCGCAATGCGAGATAATGTCTGTGTTGGACCGACTGCTCACGCTGAGCTAACAAAACGGTATTTTCATGGCGTCAAAATTATATCAACTTAACGCTGACGCCCAGTTAAGACGCTTCTCCTATGAGCTAACAAACCAGTATTTTGTTGGCGTCAGGGTAACGTCAACTTAACGCTGACGCCCAGATAAGGCGCTTGTCCTAAGAAACCAGACCTTAAGACAGCTTTATTTTGTTTTCACAAACGAACTAAGAATTTCAGCAACGTGTGAGTTAATGTGTCGCAAATCATCACACAAACATAATGGAGTTTTACAGCCTCGTAAAAATTAAGAGTTTCTTTATACTTATTCTCTCACAAAATTCTAACAATATATTCAAGAATCTGTTTTTACACAAAAGTAGTTTAACGTTTTTCCATTTTTTAAGATAATTTAAAAAAATTTTCGTCTTAAAACAGACCTGCTAATACAACGGCATAGTCTTTACATTTCTTTAATAGCTTTAAATTTTGTATTTTATTTTATAGCCGTCGTTGAACAGTAGACCCAATTTTTTGGGTTTACAACTACCAGTGTTCAACTCTATAGCCTTGAAATTGTGAACCCAATCCAGAAGACAAAGGAACTCTTGGGTCAAGTATTTTATTTCATAACCTTCGTTGAACAGATTTTCCAATTTTTAGGTTTACGATAACTAATGTTCAACTGCGTAGCCTTGTAATTTTCGACCTAATGCAGATGACCAGAGAAATGCCGGATCAAGTCTTGGGAGAACTTTGCCTTCGTGGTGTCCTTTTTGGTGGAACTAAGCCGGATGCGGAATTCTTATCGACTTGCCATAGCTGGGATTCGAACCCAGTTCACCTCATTGGAAGGCGAACGCTCAATCCCCTAAGCCATTGGGAGCATCATCTATTACCGCACATTGTGGGAACCTTGAACTTAAATTCAACTTTGTTAACGCAAACCTTTTTTCAACCCGTTTCATCAGTTTATCTTGATGCTCTGGGATTATGTTACATTTATATTATATTACATGTTATTTATTTTTTATAACCGTAGCTGAACAGCCGACCTAATTGTTTTGTGTTTACGACTACTAATTCTTAACCCCGTATAATTGTAATTTTGAACCCTATCCGGAAGACAAGGGAACTCCTGCATCAAATATTGCGAGAATTTGCCTTCGTTTAGAACTTCTTCTTGAAAATAACCCACATTTGCGTTACAAGGAGAGGAAAACCACGAAACCCCTGCATGTTTAGCCTGACTGCAAGGGGACTCTAACTCATGATCCGTCTACCGCTGAGGATATTTTTACGTAAGTACTGTAGTCGGCGAAAGCCGGATGCGGAATCCGTATTGACCAGCCATCGCTGGAATTATTTCAAAATTGTTTAATTTTGCTTTTAGCTCTTTAACCGCTTGAATTCTATCACATATTTGTTTGCTGTTAAACAGCTGCTGTTTTTTTTTTATTTCAGGCTCAATCTGAATTGTCCGATCAAGAAACTTTTGTGTACCCCGACCAGTTGGAAAGTACCAGCCTTGCTTTAAGATTTAGACTAAAGCCAGACGTTCTACACAATGGAAAAGTCATCCTTAAATGTGTTTCCACCGTTCATCACATTCATGCAGTTTCTGTGAAAGAAATTAGAGCTACAGGTATGAATGTACTTCCCTTGAATTATCTCAAACACACCTCATCTGATGTCGATTAAGATTTTCTTCTTTTTTTAAACATACAAAAAAATAAAAATCTTCTACATTTTTCTGAATTCATATAAACTAGTTATCTCTGGAATTTGAACATGGGTCAACTCAGTGGTTTAGGGTTTAGGAGGCGACCGCTCTACACATGACAAAATTTTTGATGGTTTTCCATTGATGAATCAACATAATCTTGATGGTAACCATCAGTATTCCATCGTGGACCATTATATTTTTGATGGTAACCAACATAGGTATCCATCACTCCAATGCAGGAATTCGGATTGATTAATGATGGTCCAACATAGGAATTTCAACTTGTTTTGATGGTTTGTTCAGGTTGAACTTATCTGAAACTTTCATCATAGTTTCCTAGAAACCAAATGTTGAAACGATCATGAATAACCATCCCCCCAATATAGGAATTCAGACTGATTTATGATGGTATAACATAAGAATATCAACTTTCTTTTAAATGGTGCTTTAATTTATTGAAATGGGGCTTTAAAGTTGAAAACCGACAAAAAAAGGTCTGGAAAATAGTTTTAAAAAAAATTATTAAAAAAATTTTTAAACCAAAATTTACAGAGGAAAAACAAAATAAAAATCAATTAAATTAATTTAAAGAAGTAAGATAAAAATACAAAAACACAATAAAGTAATAATGTGGCAGATCATTGTGACAAATGGTCTTTTACCGGACTCCTTATAGGTTGCTCACACGCTTCCCTGTAAAATTCAAGAATTTAAATTTTAATGCAAAAGGATTTAAACATTTAGTAAATGCAAGTATCGTGATAATTTTTAAGTCAAAGCATGTTGTGAAATTAAATTTTTTTTTGCTGTTTTTCTTATAGGTTCCAAGCCAAATGAATCTCATAGTGGATTATTGTGCATCACAATTACCATAAGTGTTCTGTTCTATGTAACACAATTTTTTGTGTAACTCCATTCTTCCATTATGTACAGTGATAATAAAATAAAAACCTTTAATAAGACAGCCAAGATTCATCCTGTTCCTCTATATTAGTAAGTTGATCAATAATATTAGTTAAGTAAGTTGATCATACAAAAAAGTAGTTATTCTCATCAGAGTGTTATGATTATTATTATAATTTGAAATACATGATCGTTGGAAGATTTTAATGTTTTTAAAGAGAGAGAACATTTTTACCCTTTGGCAAAATGGGTCTCGGTTTGGGTTTGATGGCGTTCACACACTTTTTAACTGTGTTCAAGAGTAATAGTAGACAGTGCGCATGCGTCGTCATTGCACGCGTTGCTCGCTGCTGTTTTTATTTTCACCCGCTGGCATTTTTAATGTAATTATAATATATATTTTAATATTTTAATACATAATAATAATTATAACATAATAATATTTTAAAGTATTTTTATATCATTTTATTATAAACGTACAATTACTGGCTTGACGGTGATTTCAATGTAAATATGAATGTTGAGGAAGGAAAAGTTATGAAACACTTACATAGGCAAGATTTGAAAATCAATCCGACGACAAACATCAATTGCGACAGTTTTGCAACCCATGATTTAAATTTAAATCTTGTGGCTTTCAACAGAGTCAATCCAGAAACATAAAGCGTTAGGCCATGGGTATCCAGTGATCTTTATAAGATGATCACAACTTTTAATTGGTATTGTTTTATAGTGTAAATATTTTTGCAATAAGAAATACATAACTTTTTCTTATCATATTTTCAAATTATCACNAACTGTCTTCAGATAGAATTTCAAATGTAATAATATAAAATAAAAAATTCATAAATCGCGAAAGTTTAAAAGATAGTTTGGTCTAGAAATGATCTTCTTTCTTTCATTTTTTTATCTTTAAAGAACAGCATATTTTACATAAACTTATTTGAGTATCTTTTTCTTTAAAGAGTCCTATTCGAGTGATTCGTGATCTTTAATTTGGGAATTCTGCGCGGATTTCACGATGTTTAATTTATTATCGTTTAATTTATTAACGAATTTTAAATTGTGCAGCGATTTACAAAATTCGAAATTGCATTTTTCCACCTACAAAATGCGAGACTATCGCCTATAATATTAGAATTGAAGAAATATTACTTTTACAATTAAAACTTTTTGTGCATTTTTTTATACTTTCTTCTGTAAATACAATGTTTCTGTTACTTTAAATTAGTAATTGTTATAATTAAAAGTATCTTCAAGCAAAATATATTAGTTCTAGGGAAGTTTGTCGCAGAAAGCCCGAAAAGTTTCTGCCACAGGGATAATATGGTATATACAGTATGGAAGTATAATTAATTGCAGTTCAAATATTACGTAAGCACCTTACAGGGTGAGGGAAGTTTATGATTTGCTTATTTTTGCAATCAGAAAGGAGGAGGTATTTGAGCAATGCTTACGTAAGTCATTAAAATTACTATAATTTTCAAATTTTTTCATCAAAGTAAAACACAAAATGTAACAAAAAACATTAAAATTTTTTTAATTAAAATTGCATTCTTGGGAAGAAAAATTTAAAAAAAACATTTCTGTGAAACGTTTCAAAAGAAGAGGAAAACACAAGATATTCCTAAAGATTATCCAAATCGAAATTTTGTAAATAAATTAAAACGCAACTTTTCTTTTATACAAATTTGCATCGTTTATTCGAATTTATTCCTAAAATTCGATTAATGGAGTAAAAGTCAAAACAAACACCAGAGAAGAGTTGTGGCGATTTTCATTCAAGGAGCATGATATTCTAGCAAGAGAGGAAATTTGTAGTCTTCATTTTTTTCTGCTCTCAAGGGTTCAGGGAGAAATAAAAATTTGAACGACCAGATTCTTTTTCGCAAATTCTTTTTCCACAGATTTACAGATTCTTTTCAATAATAATTAATCGTGACAAACAACCATCATTTATTAGTTATTGAGTCGTAATATATTAGTTAGTTTAAAAAAACTTCATTGGTTTTAAAAATATACAGAAGGAACTAACATTCGATACGTTCCTAGCGCTCAAAAATAGGCTCCCGTTTTCACGACTTATCAGATGTGGATAAGAAGAAACGAAAGTGATTTGAAATATAAAACGCAATGTTAAAACCGAAAAATGGAGCATAAAGATGAGATCAAAACTAATAAAACCACAGTAGCCGAGAAGGCAGCAAGAATAAAGTAATGTAATTACTTTTTTCTCTTTTGTCTATTAAACGAAACAAAAGGGCAATTCAAAGAAAAATGGCTGTAGTTTTTTGAAAAGCTCATGAAACCATGGCAATTGATCATTAATTTTAATCTAAATAGAACATTTTTTTTTCAAGTTGGAGATTTTTGTTTAAATATCATATTCTTTTTAAATTCATAAAATGTTTGTTCGTTACTGTAGTTTTTAGATAATAATTTTTAAAAATTGTTTAATGATAATTTTCTAACCCTTTATTGAATCATTTCTGAAGTTTTTTATTTCTTATGCTTTAATATTTCTCACTTTAATACCAATGGCTCATTGCATGAAAAGTTAATTTTTTTTCAACAACATACTATATGAAGGTCTTATATGAATGGAAGTTAAATCAGCTCAAAACAATGGAGTTAATTTTATTTTAATATTCCTAAAAGTCTTAATTACTATCTTAGTAAGTTTCGTATTCAACTCCAGCATATTTCTACTGCAAAATAAAGGGTATTGCAAAACAAGTTGACTCATTAGAATTTAAAGCTTTGTATTAGAAAATTAACGTAAGTAAATTTGCCTCATTAATCAAATCAAATCTGCGAAAACTAGTAGTTTGTGTCAATTTTTTCTTCTTTTTTTGTAGTAGTAGTAGTAGTCAGAATTTTGAAAAATGTGTTTGACTCCGACAACTTAAAAATTAGATCCAATAGATTATAAGAAGAAACGAATTTTTTAATTTAGAAATATTTTTACAATGATTATGTAAGCAAAATATTGCTCAAATAAATACAGTGTCAATTATTTAAATTACAACTTATTCCATATTTAATTTACCATTTCCGAACATTTTTATTATCTTCAAATTTATGCAAAAGAAACTACTGAAATAGCACATGTATTCCAAATTTTTTTATGTTAATTGAAAAGATATGTAAATGCATCAGATTTGTAATAGTTTCTTAGTTCTAATTATCTTTTGAATACTTTTCCAGTGGTAGTTCTTTTTTTTTTCAAGTGAAATTATACAAAGTTTGAAGAATACTAAGTTTTGTGCCATATCTCTGCCATGTTTAAAACATTCAGTCATGAGGTAGGTATGTACTTTATTTACGTCGCACTATAGCTGCACAATGGGCTATTGGCGACGGTCTGGGAAGCATTCCCCAAGATGATCCGAAGACATGCCATCGCAATTTTGATCCCCTGCAAAGGGGGTGGCAGCCCCGCTTCGGTAGTTCGACGACCTGCTCTCAAAGTCAATCATTTTACTGTATAACAGTTCAACGAGGAATAATAACTCGGGCCCTCAGCAAACTGATCCAAGTGGTCACCCACCCGCACACTGACCACATCGGTCACTGTTGGGAACCGCGCCTTAAGATAAGTCCTCTTCCTAGTCCGCGACTATCCTCCGAAAAATATTCTAATCATAAAATGTTTATAAATGTGCGTAGGAAATATTGATTCCTAATAGCTATTTCTTTATACTGGTTTTGTACAATTTCAATATTTTGTACAATTATTATTTATTTTTGCAATTTAAGAAAAAAAAAGTTTTAAAGGACGCAATTGTACGTAATAAAATAGAAATTTCAAAGTAATATTTATTTAGTAATAGTATTATTTTATAACCATCGTTGAAAAGCTGACACAATTTCCGGCTTACGACTAGTGACGTTCACCTCCTTAGCCTTGTGATTTTGAACCCAATACAGAAGACAAATGAACTTTTGGATCAAGTATTGGAGGAAATCTTCCTTTGTGGAGGACTTCTTGATGGAACTAACCCGCATGTGCGTTATATGAAGAGGAAAACAAAGAAAACCTGCCATGGTTAGACTGACGGCAGGGAGCCGTCTACCACTGAGAGTATTTTACGTCAGCACTGTGATCGGTGCAAGCCGGATGCGGAATCCGCCTCTACTAGCCATCGATGGGTTTCGCACCCGGCTCACCTCATTGGAAGGCGAACGCTCTTCAAAATCTAACCATTTGCGAAATGGCAGATATTTATAAAAAAATTCATTAACTTTTATGTATTGCAGTAAATTGATTTTAGAAAATCAATTGAATTAGAAAATTAATTAAATTAGGAAATTAATTGAATATAGTATTAATAGAATTTTGTAATAGTATCAATATTATTGTAATAGTATCAGTATTGTAATAGAATTAGTATTATTGTAATAGCATGAGTATTATTGTTATAGTATTAGTATTATTGAAATAGCATTAGTATTATTGTAATGGTATTAATACCATTGTAATAGTATTAGTATTATTGTAATAGCATGAGCATTATTGTAATAGTATTAGTATTATTGTAATAGTATTAGTATTATTGTAATAGCATTAGTATTATTGCAATAGTATTAATATTATTGCAATAGTATTAGTATTTTTTGAGGATTTGGTTAAGGAACTCTTTCCTTAACCTAAAACATAAGCTCCTACTTTACTACAAACTATTCAATAAATATGCTGAAAAAGCACTAAATCATCAAACTTTTATTTATGCTTCTATTCACTTGTCACATTTTCCAAAATCCCCCAATTCGAAAACATAGTCACATTTTTTTTTTCGATCTTGAAAGAGAGGAAAATTCTTAGGTGTGATAAATTGAGTTGAAATCTAACGGCCTTCAGTCTTTCATAACTCAAAAATGTTAACTTCAAGAAAAGAGGAGAAAAAGCGTTGTTTCCGAAATTTATAGAGTTCAGAAGAATGCCAAGAACTCTTGGATTCAGAATTTGTATTTATTTATTTAATATATGAAACTCTGTTTAAATTTATTTTGGTATAATATATAGATTTGTATACGAATCATTTTTTTTCTAAATTTGGG